TACGCTGCCCTAATTGTAACGTCAGCTGGATATTTGAGTAGTGGCTTAATCAGAATGGAATTAGCACGGTTATTTTAATGGTCATTACAATAGCCAAAGCAAAAGTTTCAAGGAAGCCTCCACCTAAATTTCCCAACTTTGTAACAATAGCTCAAATTCAACACTGCTGAAATTAAGAAATGATTTTTCAGGAGCAAGGAGAATATACACACATGCAGAGAGTCCATTTAGTCAAGTATTCTGTGTATCATCTTTCCGGGGAATAAAAAAAAAAAAGGTAATAAATCTTCAAAGGACAAACGTCAGACAGACTGACTGAAAGGTGATATTTATACTGGACTCCTGGGATCAGATTCCGCGATGACTTGTGTCCTTGCACTGGTGCGTTAGAAAGCCCAGGCTCCGCTGACCTTCTTCGACAGCACTGAGCTTGAGATGCTTTGGAGGGGTGCAAAGGCCCAGCTCAGTGAATTCACTCAAGTTAAAGTATTTTCCCAACCCTCTGCTTTTTCTCCACCCACTTCCCTCCCCGTTTTTTTTTTTTTTTTTTTTTTTGTTCACCTTTGCATGTCCCCACACTGCTCTGCAGATGGTTTTGCTAGTGCATGGGGAGAGGAATGATGCTCTTGGTCAGGGAACACACCAGATCATTAAACCACCCTCAGCTTGTGCCAAAATTCCTCCTAAATATTATTGCAATTATTATTACTATTATTTAGGCTTTGGACAGTTGTAGCATTTTAGAAAGCTAACTTTTTGACAAGTAGGACCAATTAAAAAATCTGTTGAACAGATTTGAGGAAATACACTGGCTGATTCCAAAAGGAAACATGTGAGTAGACTTCTTCCACATTTCTCTGTTTATTTTATTATTAGTTCCAGCTTCAGAATAAAACATGTTTTAAATAAATAAATAAATAAATACGAAACAAAACAAATAAAACTTCCTGGAAAACACTTGTTTCCTGACCCGCTACAACCTTCAGTCATGTTTTTAGACACCCTGAGCAAAATGTTTTCCATACAATTTGGATAAATAACGCAACAAGTTAAAACGGCAGCAGTTAGTATTGTCAGTGCTGACAAGTCGTGGTAAGTCCCTTCTCTACATGCCTCATATATACACTAGACAAATCATCCCGATAGTTCTGTTTACAAAATTAGTTCCTATAATTGCTAGCAACATTTTGAACTGTTTCAGGCAGCTTAGTCTTCACTTAAATTATGTTTTAAGGGTTTAACAAATACATCTTAACTACCTCCTCCTAGAAAACATCCAAAAGAAAGGCTCCATGGTAAATAGGATGAGTTCAGTCACACATGAAGGTATATAGTGCCAAGCTGGTTTCAGTACCCTGCAGTAAAAGCACTGCTTAAAATTTACAGTGAGATAATGACTGTGCATGAATTAATGCTCTGGAAAATAAGTCTTTGACTACAACTCTTTGCTTTTTACAGGCATGTAATTATCATGTTGCTCTTGCAGAGAGCTATCCACAGAACAACAAAACAACTCTCAGTCAGGAGTTAATATCAGAGGCTACAGAGGTCCAGAAAAATGCAAACATTTTTGCATCTTCCCAAATTACAAAGTAGATAAAAAAAAACCCTCTCAAAAGTCTCAATTCCACATTATGTTTGGGTTCTGTATTTGTTGCAATTATTCCTGCTACACTGTATTAACAGTTTCAGTTGCAGTTGGGAGGATATGCTGCTGTGGGCTGCACAGTTTACAAGAGAGATCAGTTTTTATAAGATATATATACCTGAAATGGTTGTTAGGCTTTTGTGCACAAGGATCCTTTTTCAGTTCTCTGTTTTCCCTAAAACCAGCTTTGTGTGAAGCAGTCTGGACACATCACCATCACTTTGTACTTTAAAATTGCAGATGGGCCATTACTACTCAGGTCATCCTTAGCTCCCAGACTGGGGAACTGGCCTGACTGATTAACAATCACTTTTTATTTGTTTGTTTTCTCACAAGATTGTTTCCATGCAGCAAATCTTTTCCTTACATAAGTCCCCATATGGTCACACAAAACTTCTACCTTCAGTGGTGGGCCAAAGTGGCCAAGATTGACAAAGGCAAGAGATAACTGCTTAATTTGGCATGATTGCCAAGCATTGAGTATGTAGGGAACTAATCTAAAAGTTTATCACTTGCCTTACAAAAGACACCAATGAATATCAAAGCTTTGGCAGGGCTAGTATCAGACCACTCCCTCTCGGAGACAAGAAACCACTGAAGTGACTTGACCCCTCTGTAGGACTTCGCCCCCAGTCTCACGAGTTTGTAAAACAGAGGTAAAATATGGCTAAGGGAGGCAAGATAATCGATGCCATTCCTCTTTCAGGAGACCAGACACCCTGAGTGAAATGATCAGACAAAAGTCCACCACTGAACAAAGAAAATGTCCCATCCTACAGGCACTGGCGCTAATTTAAGGGCAGATTTCACTGCCGGTGTGTGAGGAGAGGAGGTTTTTACATGAAAATAGTTCACTCAGAATTACTCTTGGAGACAAGGCAAAGGGAATCTCCACTAATCTCAAACAGACAGAACAAACTTCAGCTGAAGGGGCATGTTAAGTGCCAGGACAGAATTGAACTCAACAGGCCAAACTGAATTTGGACCACCTCCCTCAACTCTGTGAGGACTTTACAATCGAATCATGTAAAACTCGCTATTTGCGCTATCTGCAAGAATCTAGTGGGACTCCAAACCAATTAAAAATAAAAACAACATGTTTTTGAACAAATGACTGGGGGCAGTGCCTAAAAGCCAAAATCAAATACTGAGGTTCAAAGCACAGTCCACATGTGAACAGGCAGGAACATCCAGCTACTGTAATGGTGAAGAGATAACGATACCAGACATTTTCTGTTCCTGCATATAAAATGTGAACAACTGAAAGACAAGACTTTTCCCTAAGATTTCTGGGAATTTTATTTTTATTTTTATTTATTTATTTTTTTTTGAGAATACAGAATTAATAAAGCCTTGCTAGTAGAAAAAAAAAGAGACAGGATCATACTGTGTAGACACTTCTCAATAGATAGGCTTGGTCAGAAACAGCAAGGCACAGGCCTTCCTACTGCCACTCTAGCAAAATGTAGTCAGGGTTGGGGAAAAAAAAAAAAGGAAAAAATAAAACAAGAAATAAAAGAAAGCTAAACCCTAGAGCTGTTTTTTGATGCTTATAACAACACTGTCGGTCAATGCAGTCTCACTGAAGTGAAACAGTATTAGTTTTCCTGTCTGTAACACAGTGGAAATGCTACTTACTCTGCCTATCAAGTTAATGCTTCAAGATACTCTCAAGCCTGTTCCAAAACAAGTGAAATATATTTTTTGTATCTTTGCTGCCTTGAGCAAGATCATATATTATCTGGTTGTTCTAACATTCAGCAAGGTAACGTTAGACTAATCCCTCACTGGAAGTTGAGGGAAAGGAATAAAAGCAAAGTGACGGCCCTAAATAAACTTGAATCACTTGAAATTCCTCAAAGTTACGGATGCAATTCCAATCTTCAGAGTCAAATCACTCTGTGGATCTGGTGTAGCTCAGGAGTGAGTTAGTTAAAACCAAACTTCTGAGGTCAAGATAAGAGATTTTCACCAGTTTAAGAAGGTTAAATTTCTTTTTGTAGTTAAACTAATGCACTATTTTCACAGCCAATATTCTACATGTACATGTTGTTCCCCTGAATGGCTTTGCTGTTTTTTTTTTTTTTTTTTGGTCTCCCTCTCCCTTTTAAGCCTTCTTGATCTTGATCATATACATTATTTTGGGGTTGTAAAAGTAAACACATTTTCAACATGGAGACACAGTGAAAAAACAAGCACTTCTCATGCCCACTCAGTCATGCACCGGCTTGCCCTTGGAGGCTCATACCCTCATTCATGCCAGCAGAAACATCTCTGCCCTGTAACAACACTTGTCCTTTGCAAAAGACCCATGATCTTGCACGGCACCAGGCTTCTTTCTGCCTTCTGGGGGAACTTTGTTTTTCACTCAGGAAGTGGCCTAGGGGTGGTTGCCTCTTTGCTAAGGGGGTTTGATACCGTCTCCGTGCAAGAGCAGCCCCACTTTATTTCCCAGCCATGACCAGCAGCTGCTGTGGAAACTCTGAGTCACTTGGTACTGCTGAAACCCATAAGAAAAAAGAAGAAAAAAAAAAAAAAGGAAAACTCAGCTTCTTCTTCCCCTGCTGCAAGATGGTCATCCAAAATAAGGTGACCAACCCCCACCCACCTGCCTCTCTTTGAGGTTAATTTCTCTGGATATGGAGACAGGTCTAGCGCCAGGAGTTTGGGGATGCCCTTTGGCGTTTGGGAAGCCCCACAGACAGCAGGACACCTTGGTGAAGAGGGTAACATTCAGAAGGATATTCTGAAGGGGAGGAGGATGCTCTTCAGAAGAAAATGCTCTGTGAAGAGAGTGGCCTTTGGATAGGCTTGACCTTTTGGAGGGGAGGACAACTTTCAGGAAGGAGAATGCCTTAGAGAAGACAAATTTTGGGGAGGTTTTCAGAGGAGGATGTCCCATGGGGTGGCGGCGACCTATCTGATGGAGGGTGCCATAGGGAAGGAGGACACCTTTCGGAGCGAGGATTTGGAGCGAGGACACGCTTTGAGGAGGAGGATGTCCTTGAGGCAGGGCACAGCCTCAGGAAAAGGTGCCCTATGGGGAGGGAGACGGACTCCTTTTCCCGGGGAGAACATCCCTATGCACTGTGCAACACACACACACCACCACCCCAGCCCAGCATGGCCTCCTCGCACCGCAGGCAGCCAGGCCACCAACAGTGCGGGC